ATAGGTATTAAAAAAGGCTAATAAGAATCAAATGTTGGAGGCATTAGTAAAAAAACTCCTAAATAATTTAATTAAGAACACTGTTTATTAGTTTAAAAATTAAATGTTTGTTTCCACTTTGTACTATCTTAAGTAACAGTATAACAAAAAAGGGAAATAACATACTGTACGGCTCAATATTGAATAATAACTTGAAATAAGATTGGCTGTAAAAGCCCAACACGGATGTTTGTGCGTGAAGACTGTGAAATAAGACTTAAATTGGAAAGAATCTCATATTTTGTGAGATATTACTGTCCTAGTTCCCTTAAGGCTGATTTTTCCAACTTCTCGGTAAGTTTTACCTGACAGATTGCATATTTTCATTTCTCTTCAGATAAGTTCTAAAAAAAGAGACAAAGATATGCTACTTGTTGGATAAAACTTACCAAGAGTTGGAACAACCGGCCCTGGAAAAAAAAGAAACATAATTTATTTGTTCATTAAGAAAAAATAGTTTTGGTTTTAGATTTTCAGCAAAAACAAACTTTGTACTAATGTTATATAATTTATTTTTCAGGATCTACCATATGGCGTACTTTGGTATGCATTTATTCTTTTAGCATCACAAGTTCATTTTTTCTCCTTATTCTTTTCTTGGAATCTACTGGTTGCCTGGAAAACACGAAGTGCCAAAAAAATGGAGTGAACCCAAATAAACGACTACAAACACTGTCAAGTTTGATAAGTTTGCATAAGATATGCAACATATTACAGATATTTCAGAATGTAAACGTTCATATTTATTATTTACGTTGAAAAACAAAGATATATAATATTGTTATGCAAAATAGTATCTAAAATGTGTGAAAAATGTATGAGAAATGTAACTAAATGAGAGAATATCAATATGTATTTATGTATATATACAAAAATATATACAAAAATTAATTAGATTTATATTTTTTTAATGAGATTTATGAGTTTTTTATTGTAAAAATATATCACATGTGAATAGTAATAATCATTGATTGATAATTATATATTAATTTGTTACAACTTTACATTTAAACAAAATTTTATCGGTACTTGTTAATGCAAAATAGAAAATAATATCTATCACTATCTACTAATGTATGTAACTGCTTTTATTGGAACATTTTTTATTTCCTGTTCCTATGGCTTATACTTTTGTATTGTACAATAGATCTATAGTTCTATGCATAATTAAGAGAAAATATTAAATATTAGGAATAGGAATTATTTTAAATCATAAAATAATTATTAAATAATGAAATATTATTTACTAAAATATTCAGTGTTAAATAAAATTAAAAATTCTAATATACAAAATACAAATTCAGGTATAAAAGGTTTTTATACTCTTAATTAAAAGTTTTTTATATCCAAATTTGTATTTGTGTAGATCAGAGTTATCGATTTTATTATAAATTCCTATTCCTAATATTTTCTCTATTATGCATATCTTTATTCCTTATCCAGTGTTGTGCTTAGCTGATTTAAAAATTAGCTAGATAAAGATGAAATAAAAATATGTAAATTTATCTTGATAAGATGAAGAGACTTCGTTTTAATAAATTAATATATCTAGATAAAATTATAAAGCGATTTCATCTAGATAACGTTCAGAGATAATATTATTTTTAAGGTTGTTTATGTAAAAATAAATTGTTATAAAAAAATGTAAATTCTAAACAGTGTTGTGTGTAGATGATCTTAAAATTAGCTAGATAAAGATGAGATAAAAATAAGTAAATTATTTATTTTAGATAAGATGATGATTTTGTTTTAAATATATCTGGATAAAAAATAACATATGGCAATTCATTTAGATAATTTTCAAATATTATTTTAAGATTGCTTATGTAAACATAATTATAAAAAAAAATATAAATTAAAAGAGATATAAAAATATCCATATATGTATATGTCGATCTAAGGGCGGATTCACATCTTTGTAGAAAACAGAAAAGCAAAAGCCAATCAGGGAGTCGATTGTATAACTTTTTCTAAAGTAAAAATGTGAAAAGTGAAAATTTTCTTCCAATCACACATCGATTTCATTTTAAAATCAATGCGTGATTGGTGGAAATTTTTCACTTTCGAAAAAGTTACACAATCGACCCCCAGGGTATCGATTCTGTAACTTTTTCTAAAGTGAAAATGTGAAAAGTAAAAAATTTCCGCCAATCACGCATTGATTTTAAAATGAAATCGATGGGCAATTAGCGAAAACTTTTTACTTTTCACGTTTTCACTTTAGAAAAAGTTACAGAATCGATACCCTGAACTCGCGTTGGCAGTAAGTTTACTACCGAGTTTACTAAAGACCTATGAGATGCGCCAACTCCGAACCGTTTTTGATTGGCTCTTGAAGTCACGTGGTTTTTCCGCTATCTTCAGGGTACTTATTACAGTTTTTTGGATGAGTTTGCTCACGAGGTAAAAATCACAAAAGTGAGAGATTCACTAGGTTGTCTACGCTTCTATTGGTTAAAATCTAGTGAATCTTTCATTTTTGTGATTTTTATCTCGTGAGCAAACTCACCCAAATAACCGTAATAGGTACCCTGAACGTCGATTGTGTAACTTTTTCTAAAGTGAAAATGTGAAAAGTGAGAAATTTCTTCCAATCACACATCAATTTTTTTTTTAAATCAATGCGTGATTGGCGAAAATTTTTCACTTTTCACGTTTCTACTTTAGAAAAAATTACACAATTGACTCCCTGGGTATCTATTACGGTTATTTGGGTGAGTTTGCTCACGAGATGAAAATCACAAAATGAGAGATTCACTAGATTTTGACCAATAGAAGCGTAGACAACCTAGTGAATCTCTCACTTTTGTGATTTTCACCTCGTGAGCAAACTCACCCAAAGAACCGTAATAAGTACCCTGATCATTGCAAGCGCGCGTTGACACAAATCTACTTGGTACAAAGCACTATCATGGTGCAAGATGCAGATTATTGTAAAAAGATAAGTTTCCATGAGGAAATTAATTTTCGAGCACAATATTGATATTTTAGTGATAGTTGATAAACAGAAAAAAATATGCTTCATTCTCCATTGCTCCACTGCTCTGCTCTGCAGCTTCGAATGCTCCGTGCTCGCTTTATTAATTTGTCTTCTGCTTTAAGCGGGGAGCACACACTCTTGCATAAGCGCAGAAGCATATGCATAAGAAATTCGATTAGTTGAATTTCTTTTTCATACGTTTATAGACCAATCAAGATTATTATGCTTACGCTTATGCGTTTATGCAAAAGTGTATGCTCTCCGCTTAAAGGTCGACAGGCAACATGGTGAAGACGCCTATCGGCCGGCCAAGAATTACGGATTCGTTCATCCTATATATTAGCCAAAATACTAAGACGTCAGTTTACTACTTGGGATATAATATATAATTGTTTAGTTCTGTGAAGTTAGTCTGCCAAAATTAGATTTTTGAAGTTTCAATAATTGGAATCAATAGTTGGTCTTTTATTGATCATTGTTGGTCATATTTTAACTTTTGTTGGTTATTAGTTTGATTGTTATTAAAAAAATAAATATCAATGTAAAGTTAGCCTACCTAAATATACAATTTTACTAGATTTTAATTAATTATACGTCAAATCGATAGGAAATCAATTGTTGGTCCCAATTATGTCTTTTTAGAAATGATTGTTGGTCGATTATTTACTAATTATAATAAAATAATTATTTTTCAATTGCTCACATATACTGCGCATGCGCATATATACTGCGCATGCTGTTTCCAATCATTAAGTTAGCTCTCTACAAATATATTATTCCGCGATCAGAGAAATGTACAATTAGATGAAACAGGTATTTTATACAAATCCGTTTAAATTGACATATTTATAATTAGTCTTAGTGTATTTATTAGGATTTTAAGTAATTGTACTAACAATATAAACTTTGTATTGAGTCTTGTTTGGTTTTGCATTCACTTCAGATTTGATAAGTTTCTCGAAATCCTCACTGCTGTAATTTGGTCTTTTATAGTCAACAACTTCTCTTTTAATTGAAAAACTACCAGATGATGTGGGAATTGTCTATCAGCAATACTCGCTGTTGTCAACGGGAGCAGGTTGAGGTTAATAAAAGGTGCTCCCTGGTCCGTGCTTGTGAAGCCATAGTCAAATATCTGTAAAATAAGAAATATTAATATAACAATTTAATTGTTTTTTATTTAGCAATAATAATTTTTTTTATTTTTCACCTGTAATAACCATAAATTTTCTAATAACTGATTTTCTCAACACAAAGTTTATATCGTTAGTACAATTACTTAAAATCCTAATAAATACACTAATACTAATTATAAATGTGTCAATTTAAACGTATTTGTATAAAATACCTGTTTCATCTAATTGTACATTTCTCAAATCTGATCGCGGAATAATATATTGTAGAGAGCTAACTTAATGGTTGGAAACAGCATGCGCAGTGCGCAGTATATGTGAGCAATTGAAAAATAATTATTTTGTTATAATTAGTAAATAATCGACCAACAATCATTTCTAAAAAGACATAATTAATTGGGACCAACAATCGATTTCCTATCGATTTGACGTATAATTAATTAAAATCTATTAAAATTTATATTTAAGTAGGCTAACTTTACATTGATATTTATTTTTTTAATAACAATCAAACTAATAACCAACAAAAGCTAAAATATGACCAACAATGATCAATAAAAGACCAACTATTGATTCCAATTATTGAAACTTCAAAAATCTAATTTTGGTAGGCTAACTTCACAGAATTTAATTTTTTATATTTATAAATAACAGAAAAAATATATTATCCTTATCAATAAGGCAATCTTTATTTCCAGCAAAAAATACTTACAAAATAATGTCACGCGATTGGCCATTAGATAGAAAAATTCTGGGGACTTAAAAAATTTTCTATTCGACAACCAATCACGTTACTTGCGTTTATCAATGCTTTCTTGCTGGAAAGCTTCCTAGGGGTGGCTCAGTGCTGCATCTATATACATTCATAAGTTCACGTACGAAAGCAATTGTGTGGTACGAGGACTCTCGTTCGTGTAACATTTTCTTCTAGCGATTGAGAATTTTGTAAAAACATAACAGAATCATAATCAAATGATCGGAGTACCATCGATAAAAAATCTACGATCCTCGGCTTCGATATCAATACATCCCACATCTTGAGTTCGAAGGTTGACACGAAGTGAAATAGATTTCATCGGATAAAACTTTGCACTCTTTTTTAGAACTTTCAATTGAGATGAGATGGATACATAGTCGAGTGCTGAAGAGTGAGCAAGCGAAAGACCCGAGGTCGAAAAGTGCAAGTGAAACGGATAGACCTCTCTTAGTTAAAACAGGAAGCCAAGCGAAGAGTGAGTGACATTTGAAGAGGGGAATGATAAAATTTAAAAAATTTATAAATTATGAAGTATCAGCATGGTTGTGTCAAAATTCGATGGGATGTCGATATGTTGAATTTGCACCATTTTGAGGAATTTCAGTCAGAATATCATTCCACTATAATATTGCATTCTTCATTTCTGTAATTTATTGTGCAATTAAAGTAGATTTAAACATATTGATATCGGAAAAAAAATATCTATACTCTTAACAATAAAAACAATATTAAGGGGATGCTGAAGTGGTCTTGAGAAGTCAGTTGTCTTATCTTATCGACAAAATATGAGGTTAAATAAACTATAAATCTATTTATTGGCTATATGGATTGTTTTTTACCTAAAATTAGACCGCTTTGTTCTTTGTTAATATTAATACTTTTATTTCTATAGGCAAAAAATTTATCAATCTGTATAGTCTCATATTTCTTGATTACAGAATAAGAATTCATAATTCTATAATCAAGAAATATGAGACTATACAGATTGATAAATCTTTCTCATGTACAAATTAAAGTATTAATATTAACAAAGAGCGAAGCGTTCGAATTTTAGGTAAAAAACAATTCGTATAGTCAATAAATAGATTTATAGTTTATTTAACCTCATATTTTGTTGATAAGAAAGGAAAAAAACAACTGACTTCTCAAGTCACTCCAGCATTCCCTTAAGAACCCTATTAATATTATATGAAGAATATTCTTGTGTTACGAATGTTATCATTAATATTTCGCTGTAATTGCATTCCTCACTTTTGTAATTAAAGTGGATGCAGGTTATTTGAACATATCGATATATTGAATTTGCACCATTTTGAAGAATTTTATTCAGAATGTCATTCCACTTTAATATTGCATTCTTCACTTCTGTAATTTATTATGTAATTAAAGTAGATTTAAACATATTAATATCTAATATTTTTTGAAAAATATCTATACTCTTAACAATAAGAATAAGTAATATTAAGAAGCCTATATATATATATTATTCTTAATATTACGTGCAGAATATTTTTTGTGTTACGAATGTATAAATAATAAATTTTTCCAGTTGGCGATGATTATATCAGAATGATGTGCAATACTTAATGTTAACGAGGAAGCCATTAGTATATAATATTAAAATATTGGAATCAAAATAGAAATTAAAACATAGAAGTAATATAATATTATGGTAATAAAAGGATATACGTATATCTATTAATTAAATACAAGCTATTTATATATATGCTAATGTCGATCCTGCATTATAACTGTACAAAGGTATACTATTATATCATATTTATATTTATATAAATCTGTTGTAATGATTGTTATATATAATATAATGTAGGAAATATTAATCAAGTATATAACAAGAAGACACAAATATATATAATTAATTTATTATGCTAATGCAATGATATATGAATTGAAAATATTTTATATCAGAGAATCAGAGCCAAATAAAAGATTTTAGTTTATGTATTTATATTTGTATTTATAATTTATATTTTTGATTATATTTGTTTTATTTATATTGTAATAATATTGAATAATATATAGAGAAATATTAAATTATTCTTATTTAGTTACAACTTGACACTAGTATTGATAAATAAAAGCATTATGTTATCTTTTAAAGTTTTATGTTTTTAAACGTGTTAAAATATATTTCTTAATGAACACATCTTTTAAATTGCTAACTTAATCTCTAGAATGATATGATATCATTAGTGTAATATCATTTTTTCAGATATTTTAATCTGTTGACGAAAAAGTTATAGGGCCAGTACAGGATTAGGCATATTTTAGTTACAATTATAATATTTATATCAATTAATAATTACATATTGTAATTTAATAAAATTATAATATACTATTAAAAAATAAGGAACACTTTTCATACCCAAAGTGTCTCCTATATTTTTTTTGAATATATTAAAATAGAATATTTATCTAATATTTATAATAATGAAATTGATATGATGGATATGAAATATGATATTATACTAGAACATAATATATTATACTTTTTTAAATATTCAGTTAACAATACAATTATTAATACAACAAATATGTATAGTACTTATTTAAATATGCAGCAATTAATATAATAATAGTTATAATATTTTTATATTATTTATAGAAGTTTTATAGAATAATAAGATTGTATTTATTTCTTAGGTGTATTAGAGAAACAAAGAGAGAGAGAGAGGATATTAATCAACTATATTCTGCGGATTACAAAGCCTCCAATGATGTTTTCTTCGGGTCTTAATTGTAATCTCTCTTTCCCTAGTTGTTTGGGTTATCCGCAAGATAGTGAGGAATTGATCCCAAAAATGGCACGTGAACCAATCATTCTTAATGTTTATGATATGGTAAGTCATCATATTTATATAATCACATATCACAAGTAAAATAAATATTATTAAAAGACTTACTTATTATTGTAATTGTTACAAATTTTTTTAAATATTTTATATAATTTTATATAAAATATATATAATTTATTATAATTTATTATAATTTATTATAATTTTTTATATAAAAATTTAAAAAAATTTTATATTTTTAATACTTATGTTAATTGGCTCGACGATTAGAAATATTTATATTTTTATTTGCAATTAATTGCATTATTTGCATTATAAGAAATTTTTTAAATATATTAATATGTTCTGTGTAGTATTGGATAAATGAATACACTACACCTATTGGTCTTGGTGTGTTTCATTCAGGAGTGGAAATATATGGGAACAGGTATATATGTATATATATATATCTATATATATATATATATATATATATATATATATATATTTTCAAGAATTATGAATTATGTGTGAAATAAGGATTTTTGAAATGTGTATTCTATTACAGAATATGCATATGGTGGACACGCACAACCAAGAAGTGGCATTTTTGAAATCACACCTAGGGTCGCTGAAGAATAGGCGAACAATTAGATATAGGTGCAATTTTAATTTTTTTTATATAAACATAAAAAAGATTTCTCTTTAAACAGATAAAATATGTTTAAACAGATAAATATGCGTTCAAATATGTCATATAATGTGAATCTCATAGTTATGTCAATTTTTTTGTTTATAGACAATCCGTTCATATTGGATATACAGATT